ATCAGGATCTCACTATATAGACCAGGCTGGCCTCAAACTGACAGAGATCCACCTTCTTCTGCTTCCCAAACACATCACCAGACCCAGCCCTGTGTCTTTTAAAAAGAAAGAAAGAAAGAAAAAAAAAAAACCACTCCAGTTTCCTTCCTTCTATCCATAGTCTCCTGAGGATGAAGGAAATAGGAAAAATTCTAGAATGTTCCTAGAACATTGTTGGTCGGGGGGGTAGGTCAACTTCTGGGAGGAGCAACCTGTGCCCTGCCCCTGCTAAACACCCCTGGCCTCTGGCTACCAGATGCCAATGTCATTTGCCCACCCAACTAGGTGTGACCATCAGCAGTGTCTGAAGACAATGTCCTCTGTCCCTGGGAACTGCATCCCCCTTGGAGCCTGGCCCTGCCAATCATCCATTCTCTGGCTCAGGACGTTGCTGTCCTCTCTCAAGTCCACCCTGCAGCCTCTTTAAGAAAAGGAAGGGTGGAGGCCACATTTTCTATATACTCCTTTCTCTCCCAAAGAAAAAAATGAATTTGAATAACTCTAGGGATCTCTGATCAGCCAGTCCCCAAGCCTCAATGCAGGTGCCCCAAGAGGACAAAAGCCTCCTTAATCCCGGAAAATGTGGAGAGCCTTGCTTCCAAGATAGGCAGATGTATTAATCAGGCCTTTCCCTGTTTGTTTTGGGCGGGGTCTCACAGCCTGGCTTTGAACTGGAGCTCAAGTACAATAATTACAGGTGTGTGCCACTGCCCTGGGCTCTCCTTCCTTTCCACCCTTCTCCCCCTCCCTCTCCCCTCTCTTTTTTCAACAGTGTTTTATGTAGCCCAGGCTGACCCCAAGCTCATGATGCACTGAAGATGACCAACGCCTACAATCCTCTTGCCCCAGCCTCAAGTGCTGGGCTGCCACAGTCCAGCGTGCATCATGCCCAGCCAGCTTTACTGGCTGTGTTCTGATACTGAAGTAGCTGGAGCCCTGCAGACCCTGGAGCGAGGGTTTTGCCCAGGGGAAGCCGATTCCTAGAGATAGGGAAGAATTTGGCCATTGCCCTGACATAGAACAGCTTACCCTGACAGCTCCGTCAGAGTCCTCCTCCAGTCACGACAGCAGGGGGCAGACGTTCCGCTTTATGTGCTCCTCATGAGAACCACAAACAAGGCTCTTTGGTACCCCAACTGGCCCTGATGCTTTCCTATGTGGTCCTGTAGGGCATCCTATACTCTCTTGGGATGTACAAGTGACAAGCTAGCCTCTCTCCTGCGTGCGCATGTGTGCGTGCGTGCATGTGCTTGGACTGGAATGCAGGGCTTCATATGTGTTAAATAAATGCTCTAATATTGAGCTACATCTCCAGCAACAATAAAAACAAGCATATCAAAACAGCGGGAAAAGGGAAGAAATAAAGGAATTCAGGGATGCTCCTGGGCAGCCCTCGTCCTGTGTTAGGGGCCTGCGTCAGGGCTGAGGAAGTTCATACCTGAAACACAGTCATTATTGCTGCTGGGAAAGTGTCGAAGTTGGTGGGAGGAGTCCCCTCATCAAAATTAAACCTGTGGACAGCAAGGACATTGGATGTTAGCCCTCCTGCTCTGAAGGCTTGGTTCAGCTTCTGGTTCCCATGGTAACATCTAGAGTCTCTCTGTTCCCCAGGAAGATACTGTATTTGGTACCCAGAAGCCCACTGCCCTAGATAACTATTCGTGTCCTGAGGGCAAGTCACAGGATGGAGGTCAGCTTGAAGGGGCTGGGTTGTGGTGGGCATGCCATGGAAGCTGAGTAGGAGTCCCGGTGAGATGCCTAAGACGTCAGGCAGTACTTACTGGCCACCAAAGAGCTGCATCCCCAAGAGGGCAAAGACAACGATGAACAGGAAGAGGAGGAACAACAGACTTATGATGGACTTCATGGAGTTGAGAAGAGAGACAACCAGGTTTCTGAGAGATGCCCAGTACCTGCCGACAGAAGCCAAGGTGGGGATCAGACCAGGAATACGCACGCTGGGCAGGGTGCCCTCCTCATCCCCTCATCAGAGCGCTAAGAAACCTCAAGACTTACTTTGTGACTTTGAAAATACGCAATAACCTGAGAGCTCGTAACACGCTGATTCCAAAAGATGTGCCAGGTTTTATGACGGCCCAGATGACTTCAAAGATGCTCCCAATGATGACCTACGACAGAGACCCCAGTCTCAAGGTTACGGCTGGCCTCAGGACTCCCACCCATTCCCAGGGCCTGAACCAGGTCCACCCCGCAGGGAACATCTATCTGTGTATCAGGCAGGTCTCCACAGACTCAGGGTTAGGCTTACTGGAAGGCTGTGAAGCTGTTACGAGGTGGGGCCTGGCTGGAGGTCAGCTGTCACTGGGGTCAAAATCCCCCCTCCCTTAGGTTGTTTCTGTCAGGTTTGGTTTTGAGACAGGGTTTCTCTGGGTAGCCCTGGCTGTCTTGAAGCTCATTCCGTAGACCAGGCTGGCCTCCAACTCAGATCCATCTACCTCGGCCTCCAAGTGCTAGGATTAAAGGCGTGTGCCACCACGCCTGGGCATCTGTCAGGTATTTTGTCAGAGTGACTACCAGACGGTGGGCCCAAAACTCATCTTTCACTTCTATGTTTTTATTTAGTAAAAGCTCACATATACCTAGATGCTTGCTATCCCAGCACTTGGGAGGCTGAGGCAGGAGGATCACTGGGAGTTGGAGGCTAGCCTGGGCTACAGAGAGAAACACTGTTTCACACACACACACACACACACACACACACACACACACACACACCACACACAC